TACATATTAGTTTCTGTAACTGTGAGAGCTGAATGAAATGACATAATTAGAGAAAATTAACACATCTGAATTGATTTCCCTAAAGTGGCATTATGTGTCAGGTCTATTAAGACAAGTTTTGACAACTAAATTTGGAGTGTGTCTTACTATTTCATTATTGAATGAAGTCTTAAATCCCCATGCTGGCTTTCCCCCCATCTCCTGCCAAGACAAATGTATATAAAGGTCCTCACTGTTTCTAAGCATGTTTAATAACTGGGGTAGTAAAATTAACAGTGCCCTAGAGCTTCAGTTGGAACTTGGCTGGGTAATATATAAATTTCCCATTTTCCTCCACTAAAGTGACAAAGTGTGAGTGACAAGAGAAGGGCAGAAAAGCTCCTTTCCCTCTTGTATGTCCTTTCTCTGCTTTCCTAGGACAGCTTTCTCATCTGTTTGAAAAACTCAAAGTGAGAGTTTCGATGCCTTTCCATCCATAAAGTCTTGGAGACACTGCATCATATAACAGCCTCTATTAATACAATTCCTCTAATCGAAAATGTTTTCTGCACTGAAGAATTTAGAGCTGCAAATAGGTTTTTACCTTTTTCCAGTGGGGGAGTCTTGTCCAATTCCATAAGCCAAAAGAGCAGCAGATGGTTCATGGATTAACCGCAAAACATTAAACCCAGCAGCTCTGGCTGCTTCCCTGTGGACAGTTTGCTTTTAATGAATTTACCATCACAACATGTTCAAGTCTACATTATTAGAAATGCTCTGCTAAAGATTTTAGGCAACAGCAAATACGGTATCACAAGGAGAACACGAAGGGCAGTGACCTTCAGAAGTAAGACAATGGCCAAAGAACAAGAAACGAACCTACGTCTCTATCACTTTCTGTTTAAAATAATAACGTTCAGAATCTATTTTCTTGACAAAGAAAATAACATGTGCTTACACTGAATACGGAAAAAAAAGCTCTCCAAATGCTCAAGCTTACAAACTTCAGAAAGCAATCAGGACATATTTATAATACATCACAGAACTTTCCAATTTCTTTAACTAAGGGTCACATTTTAACATCCCACAAGTGCAAGTAAATAAAGCAATTCTCTGCCCCAGAAGCAACTCGGGTGTTCAGCAAAGCCCCACCGGGAAGTCTGTTCACAGAGCAGAAGCATGGGTGCTTGCCTATTACATCTGTGTAACGACCTATAAAAACTAAACACAGCTTTTTGCTTAGATGTTAATCCAAGGTGAAAAACTAATTGTAAATATTTTCTAAAACTGCCTATTTTTTCGTAATTCCCACATAAGCCTTAATTACATGAAACTAAAGCGAAGTGATTTCGTAAACATCAACCCAACCTGGTAGTCAAAAATGCTTCCAATCAAAACAACTAAGAAAGTAACATCTAATTTTATGTTCTTTAAACATTTCATAAAATATAGGAAATATTAATGATTATTACCATACTTTTTACCACCCAATTTACATATGTAAATATATAAATGTATTTACAAATACAGTTTTACCTTTGACTATATAGCGATACTGTGCAATTTGTATTTCCTTTAACTAAACAAGTAAGAAAAACCCCATATTATACTTACCCAAGAGCATTTTTTTGCTTTTCTCCAAAATCAAATGGAACAGTAATAACTACATCATTGGCATCTGAGCCCAAGACAGAATGTGCCGTTTCTACATGAAAAAAATATTTGAAGAGTTCACTAAACTTATTGTGGTCATCATTTCTTGATGTATGTAAGTCAGATCATTACACTGCACAGCTTAAACTTATACAGTGCTGGATGTTAGTCACAGCTCAATAAAACTAGAAGAAAAAATACTAAAAATAAATTCCGACAACACACAAAAATGTCAAGTGATCTTTTGAGGCTTATTAATTTCTACCAAAGATCTTCTCACTATAAAGATTTTTCCAAATCATCTGATTGCCCCACCCCACTGACCTTCCACTCCTGTTCTCTTAAACTGTGCACTACTTTTTGTGGTTTTGGTATATTTGTGGACATGGAATTAAATACTTTTCAAGGCTTCTCAGGCTTCAAGCATCTCCCAAATTAGACTGGTTCCACGGAGAATGAGCTCCTAACGCATCAATGTGAAGACAAACTAACATGATTAAAGACTGCCTTCCAACCCCCGAGCTCATCACAAATTCCAGAGCCGAAGTGAGCCTTGTACATAATCTACTCCAGAATTCCGCAAATTGTTCCACAGGAGGCTGCTCAGCTCCAAGCCTTACCCTAAAGTGGTGATAAAACCAGACCTACTTAATCTGCTGACATTATCGTGAATTTTGAAGGAGATAAAACATTTACTATTCACCAAGCTTATCTGGCCACTTCATCTTAAGAAGTTTTGAAAATGCTAACTTGGCCCAATCCATTTACACTACTTCTAGGGAAACCAAAGTCACCCAGTTGGGTCTAGCAATTAGGTCTCCTCACCGATAACATGAACCATTACCCTGCTTCTCCCCAGATCAAAACACGTCTCACTTTTTTTTTAAGGTCAATTTTAAGAGATTTTTTTTCTTTTGCTCAATACCTTTCATTTTACTAAATATCAGTCTGGCAACATCTTCTGGGTTGACAAATTTTGTTTCTCCTCCAGTATCTATTTCGTATCGCAATTTCCCATTTTTTTCAATGACCTATAAAGGAAATTATAAGTGTATTAAATAAGGAATGATTTTAACAAAGATATAAAGTTTCAAAGCAATATAACTGGTCATGACCTTGGTGATTACTCTGTGTCACAGGGAAGTAATAAGGAAGCATACTCACTAAACATTTACTTTCCATGATGTATTTCTGAGCCTGCGGATCCTCAGAGCTGTCCATAAAGATAAAGACAGTTACTTTAAGTTTAAAAAGCTAAAGCTCTAATTGTTAGAGATTATTACAAACAATGATCAGTACATATACATAAACTGAAAAAGAAATGTGCAGTATATTGTATACATGTATTTACACGCAATGTAATGTATATGTGAAGTCCAACTGCAAAAATTCTGCCTAATAAAACTGAAAAAAAGATAAAGACAGTTAAACAGTTGTATTAGTATTGTTGATATATGTCTTAAAGATTATATTCTTCAATACCACTGAACAAATACAAAGATATAAACAAACTTAAGTTGCTTAATATTAAAAAATCTTGAAATACTACAGATCTAGATGGTAGGATTAAATGGATGCGGTATTTCCAACGGTTACAGTTAATTCTATTAAACTGTTAATCTTCACA